TGTGGTTCCAATTAGCTAAGGTTGTTAAACCAATAAATATTCTTTACACTAAAGCAGGTTCCATAGAGATCAAAATTGTTCTTCTGTTCTCTTGATTAAGCACAAAAGGTAGCTTTACACAGTGCACCGCAACAAATGTGTCTTCAATGGAGGTCTTTTGGACAAGGAAATGCCAAGCTGGTCCAGAGGACCATGATGAGCCCTAATCCTTCAGAAAGATTACTAAATTCTAGACTTGCAGGTATCTTTCAAAATCCAGATCAGATGGTCTAGACTGATGAGCAGAATTAAACCATCAATGGAAGTGTTCTTCTGAGGATTTGTGAAGAATTTGGAGCAGAAATTGACTCTGAAAGGCAATTGTTGCTGAAAATAGGGACATCCAAGATTAGCAGAAGAAGAGGAATTGGAAAAGCTCTTTTATTGGGGTGGAATTTAGTAGATTTCCTAGTTTTTGTCCCCTTGCACAAATTCCTCTTTATCATTTCTTCCTCCTTTTTTTGGCTTTCTTTTTCATGAAAGGAGAGTTTTATACTTCTTTGGCTTGAGGCCCAGTTTCTGCCAGGTGTATATGCTATCAGAAAGGGGACCCTGGATTGCTGGATTGGTCATGTTCTTTTCTCCAGTCCATCTCAACTCTATTCCCCACACAATTCATTGGCTGTCCATCCAAATAAAGTTGGGCTACTGAAAGCTTTGACCTTTTCATTAAAAAAAATAAAAGAAAAAAAAAACATGACACTAACATAGCCACGTGGCAAGGGTTATTGGGTTGAAGCTTACTGCACCAACCATGGCGGGAGGGAGGGGGCACATGGAGCCCATTTGGGCTACAACAATGCTGCCATCTGAAAGATTTGTGGACTGTCTTAGATCTTATTTCTTGTCAACTCGTTTAGGAAGCCGATTCATATAATGCAGACATGTACTTTAACCCTAAGAATTCAATTGTGTGGGCCATGAATTGGAGATTTTTCTACATTTTAATAGACCAATTGGATAACATAGGTATGCATGATTGCATCACAAATGAAGGGTCTGTAAATAAAGATGCCATTTTCTTTTTATGGCCTTTATCTATTTCTATTTGATGTTTTGATCACTTCCTACTAGATTTTTCTTTTCTGACTTTTGTCCAATACACATCTCTTAACCTCAGGTCTACCATTTGTTCAGATTGAAGATACTTATCTTTTCACTTTGGCAAATAAACTAGGAAATACCATGCTTGGGAGTGGGACCATTGAATGTCTCTGTTTGTACTACTTGGGTTGTCTGCATTTCTAACATTGCCATTAAGCAGAGCTTGATATAAGAAAGTTTTGGAATTGGTCCAGATATTATGGATTTATGGATCCAAATCAACTAAGACAAAATTGGAAAAGAAAAAAAAAACAGAGTGGTTAATGTAAACAAAATAATAAATTGATACTAGTAGCAGATCAATGCCCCCAAATGGAGAAAGAAATAGAATGACAAGGCAATTTCAAAGGGAGCTTTTTGGTTTTTGCAATAAGTGAGCTAATATTCTTGCCCCTTATTTTGCTATTATTCAATCATGAAAAACCTATTACTGAAATGCTATTGAAGCAAACAATTTAGATGCTCAATGTATGTTCAAGTTTGAGGGTGGCCATTTTGTGCTGAGAAATGCCGAAAGTTAGGAATACATCCAGTCAACCTTCCAATAATATAATTCAGATAGTTGGAATCAACATTGGGTATATATAAGGTTCGATTATAATATCTAAAAAAAACTTACAACCAATCAAACTAATATCCTAGAAGTGGTAACTAATCACCTGGTATTGATCAAAATTCATGAGGCTTCGGTTGGTCAAAGATCTTCCAGTATCATACCTTTCGGCATCATAGATATTGCCATATATATAATCCAAACTTATTACATTTTTCTTAGTAGGATAACAAATTTATTGCATTTCTATTTGTTAAATTTTGGTGAAAGAAATAACTAAACAATAGCTAATTAAACTATCATCCTTATCTTGTTATTCCTATCTTTGAATTGTAATAAACGACATATCCTGTCATTTTCATCTTTCCCTCCTTTTTTTTCTTCCAATTTCAACCACTACCAAGGAGGAGTAGGTTTCAAAACTGAGGTCTTCCCAAATGATTCCAAAATGCATTATATAAAACTAAGACCACTGAAGATGCACATAATATACTTCTATCATGGAAGCATGGAATAAATTCATCACAAAAAACAGGCTTATTAATCACAATATATATATATATATAATTTTACCTGAAGCAAAAATTCTAAAACCATCATCATCTTATCCAAATTCCCGTTATACTGTTTTGTAACATTTCATACAAAGTTTTTAAAACCGAACCGGACAACGAACCAGTTAGGGGTTTGATTCTCGAGTTGAATGGTTCGATTGTTCGAACTGAATAAATGGATCATTTTGACAAAAATTAAAAAGGCTAAATCATTGGACGGTTCGAATGGTTCAACCACCCGGATCAGTGGTTTATTGACCAAATCAACGGTTTTGGCAAAATAACGATTCTGGGGTAAAATGACCAGTTTCCGATTTTTCTAGTCCGACCGTCCAATCCAGTCTGATTTTGAAAACCATGATTTCATGTATAAAAATGTTCATTTTTTTTTAAGACTCCCCAACATATCATGTGTGTTCAATATACCACCCAATGTATTGTTGTGCATTCTACGTGGTTAGTAGGGAGTCTGGATCTCGTGCAAGCAAAAACTCTGCTTATACATCATCCAATTGCATATTGGGAATATCTCCCATACATGTATAAGTTCATGGGGAGATGCTCCCAATGTGTAGCTGCATTTACATGCTTTGACAATATGTCAGAGTGTTTGGTTGCAGGGAATCCGATTGCATCAGTAGGCATATCTCCCAATCACAAGTGACAGCCTTACAGGTTCAAATCTATAGAAAGCAGGTCTTCCATGTCTAAGCCAGTGGGCCTCATATGTCACCCCAGATCTGCTGGTTACTTATTAACAGAATCCATTGTTGGATCCTCAATAACAATAGGTGTAAAGTGGGGGATCAGCCCGGCACGGCCCATGGCTCAAGCCCGTGCAGGCCTGTGCTATGTTGTGTCGTGCGGTGGGTCGGGCTGGCCCATGGGCCAAGCCTTGGCCCAAGCCAGCCCATGGATCGAGCTAAAGCTATTTTTGCTTATTTATTTAAAAAATTGAAAAAAAAACTTAAAATTTTAATTTTATATAAATTTTGATATATACAATTGCTTATATATATAATAATTAAATAAATTAGTATAATAAAATTGAAAATAATTGTATATTTTATTAATATATTATATACTATATATTATTATATAATTATAATTTATATATTATTATAGTATATATGGGTCGCGCTGGGCTGTACTGACATGCAGGTAACGAGCAACACAGCTCACTAGGTCGTGCCATGCCATCCCAATCTATGGACCTAAAACCTTAGGCACAGCACGACACGAGACCCGATTTACACCTCTAAGTATTAGCAATGCACCTTCAAGGCTTCAAGCATGTAAATATAGACCAAACACCTCAAATGTATCCTCCTATCTTAACCTCTACTACTCCGCTAATTATACCTATATGTCAAGCATATGGCACCTTGTTTATCCAAAAGAAAAAAAAAAAAGTGATCAATATTCCCATATTCATTGACTTTCATTTATTTGTAGCATGACTTGCACTAATATATGGCTCATAGTGCAATGGCGAAACAAGATTCATGTAGCCAATCCCCCAAATAGCTGGCATATAAGGTTTAGATGATATTGATAATGACTTATTAGATGAAACGAAGTTATTTTGTTGTGATCTTACTTTGAAGTTTAAAACAAAAATTGACCACATGAAATGGAGCCATTTCTCAAAATTAACTTTACATCTTGTGACCTAATTATGTTCATTTTCTGACTTTTCCCTTCAAATCTCTTCTTTAGACTAGTAGTGTAAGGAAACCCTAATCATTTGATTTAAAATATTTCATAATTCCTCCAATAAGATAAAGGTTTTCATTTCATTTCTTTCTTTTTACGAGGGTATTTTTAAGATTTTTTTTATGTATACATAGAAAATAGATTAGGCACATATGTTTATTAAGATTGTTTTTAGCACTATTGCTATTTCTACTTTGAACATTTTGGACTGATCAATATTAATTACATTACATATGCGATTAACTTCAACTAAAATGATTAGACGTCACCCCTATAGCAATAAATGTCAATTTAGTGTATAGAAACAGCCTCCATGCATACATTTTAAGGTTTGTCTGTTTCAGCCTGAAATAACAGTTGTAGAAAGTTTACATCGACGCCCCCACAATGCACCGCAGAACATCCCAACCTTGTATTCGATGATGTGAAAATAATGATGCGGGAGATGTTCCCAATAATGATACCAAAAAACAACCCTGATCTATAGTTAATCTCTATGGATAACCTCTAATAGAAAAGGGAAAAAAAAAAAAAAAAAAAGAAAAAGAAAAAAAAAGATTAGGCATTAAATGCAGTGGGGCTGTTTAGAAACGGCTGAAGTAACTGAAGTAAACAACTTATTTCTTTGTCTTTTAGTGAATATAAGTGAATAAAGAGGTTATGAGCTCCTTAATGACTGAAGCCAGAATTTAATTATTTAATATTCACCGAAAAGATAAAACAATAAAGTCAATCAATTTAATCACCTAAACCACCGGGATCAAGTAATATTTGGTTGAAGGGCAAAATTGTAAAACAAATTTATGAGTGGAATCAATTGTTTCTAACTTGTTATTTTTCTTAAGGGCTAAGACATTGAAGAGAATCAGTATATTAGAATGAATGGACAAAATTATCCTTAGAAATCAGGCGCGTGCAGCTCACGTGATGCAGTTTATTCTTAATTAAAAGATAACGGCGAGAGGGGTAGATCCGGCACTGTAAAAATACACACTCGACAGGGCAATATTCCCTTTCTTTTGCCGCGTACACCTTTGCTTTTGGGGGTCTTTGCACGGAGGGAGACTAGAAATTAGAAAAGCAAATCCACTGCTCTCAGCTTCAATCCCCTCCGTTCTCCATTACTCCAACTCTCCAGTTTGGAGAGAGAAGAAGATCGTAACAAGTATCAGAGCGAATTGATCTTATTCAGGTAAGCTCCTATTTTGATCGAATCAGTATTTCTAAGATGTTGGCCATGTGAGGGTTCTAGTTCTAGGGTTTGTTCCTTGTTTGATTGGTTCTGTATTGCCTGTATTCGTCTTTATGTCCATCGGAGTTAGCGGTTTGGAGTGGAAAATCTATGATCGATTTTTTTTTTTTTTTTTTTTTTTGTATTTCTGATCATGAATTTGCTCGCGATTTAATGATTCAAAGGTCATTTTCTTTGTGAATTATGAGTTGTGTTTTTGCTGGTTTGGAGTAAAAGAGGTTGGATTAATTTTGGGTTGTAGGGTTTTGGAGAATTTGAGTTTCGATGGGGAAGGGTTCGAAAAACGCATGCAAGTCCGCGTCCCACCAGCTTTTCAAGGATAAGGCGAAAAACCGAGTGGATGATCTGCAAGGGATGTTTACTGATCTGCAATTCGCTCGGAAGGAGAGTCGTACGAGTGATGTGGCTGTTCTGGAGGAGCAAGTACATCAGATGCTGCGCGAATGGAAAGCTGAACTCAACGAGCCTTCGCCAGCATCTTCTTTACTCGTGAGTATGATCAGTACGTAATTTGTTTTAGTTTTTAGAGAAAAACCCTGTTTTTCGCCTTATTAACAATAGCGGGTTTTCTACAGGGTGGTAGTCTCGGATCGTTCTCCTCGGATATTTGCCGATTGTTGCAACGTTGTGATGAGGAAGATGATGCAACCAGTGCTCTAGCAGAAACCACGAATCCAAAGCCTGAGCCTGATGTTCAAAGCCTCCCAATGGGAATCACTACGGTATACCAAGAGGTGATTTTTTTAGGGCGTTATGTTCTATTTTATTGGTCTGAATTCTTTGACACTGACTTCTGCTAGCTTACTCATACGTCTAAACTCCAGTATGATTTTAGAATAAAGATAGAGTTCTCAACATGCAAGAATGGTATTATAAGAGGCCTAGTTTTGTTCTCCAAATTATGTCTAATGCACTTAAATCTTTCATAGATATGAAAACGATTGCACTCCACAAGTAATTGCTGGTGTGAACGTTTAACTTTTGCAGTGTAAACAATCTAGGATGCCTCAGTAATCTGTTCTTACACTAATGGTAGTTGGTCTGATGTTGTTACTAATGTCCTATGGTTGGTGTCTATGTTCTATAGTGTAATAATCTATGCAAAGTTTTGGTGATATGATTGGAATATAGATCTTTTATACATTTCCAATAGCATTCGTTCCAGGACAAATACGTTTTTTTAATCCAGATTCTAGGACAAATACATGCTATTACTATTAGAGCAGGAAAGTCAAGGTGACTGTAGGAACTAGGAAGGTATAATAACAAACTGATAACATCATAAGGGAACCATGATGATGATAGAAGGTGGAGTGGTTCGGAATGATGGTTCTTTATTCTATCATAGATACATAGAATATGAATGCAGGAGAAAGGCTACTTGTTGTAAGCTGCACTGTTCCTAAGCTCCAAATTGCTACCATGGATGCCTAATACTCCATATTATATACCATCCTGTGGATATAAAAATTCAGCTCTAAAGAAAGATACTGGTAGATTATTCTCCATTTTTACCTCTCTATGTAACAATTTTCTCTTTTAAGAAATCAATTCCTGATTAAAAAAAATTGCAGAAGGTTATAACTCTTTTGGTGTCTTTTTTGGGAGAGGAGTTGTTAAAGTTTAATTAACAATGATATGATAAAAAGGACACACCCATGTACAAACTTACATGGTTAGCAATTGAGGCACATGCATGCTCAACAAGCACATGAAAAACTACAGGTGGGAAGAAAATTAAAGAATACCACAAGACCGATTCCTCTTGGTATTCTCAAACTTAAGATAGCTCCTCAAATACCAAGGTCTAGAATAAGAGCAGTATATTCATTTTCCTGGTAGCATGATTAACAGAGCAGCTATTGTCCGGAAATTTTCAACTGAGTTTTCTCTTCCTAGATGCTCCAAACTATGATACCAGGTACCTCTACAGGGGCCATGTGGTGCTGGGAACTTGGGACTGCAGTTTCGTAGATGCTCCAAACTATGATACCAGGTACCTCTACAGGTACCTTCGCATATTTAGGTATTGTTGACTCCAACTGCATTGTGAAAGTAGTAGATTCCATAAACTAAAGTGCTTCATGGACTATTCCTTGGGAAGCTCTAACAAATAGCAAGGTTTTATCTAGTTACAGTGGGAAAGACTTTTGGAAGTGGTGTGTGCTTAACTCCCAGTTTATGAGGTACCATATGACGAGCACTGGATTTACCACCTTTCTTAACATTGCAAACACATGAACATCCTTTTGGTGTGTTGGAATCTTTTTATGAGCAACAGTACAAGTTGATTTATTGTTGTAAGAGCAAACTGCATAATATCCAAAATTTTGGATAACTAGAAGCATAGAAAAATAAGAATGATGCTGACTGCACATGGTTTAGTTATTAACATATGAAATTTACAATCCACACCCTGGCCGAGGTATTCCTCATAGAAGATAATTCCTTGTAACTGAAGTACAAGTAAGCAAGTTGTTAGGGGTTTCTGTGTCCAGAGGGGAAGAATTTGAGAAGAAAATGTTCCAGGATCTGGAATTGAGATATCCTGAGGTATTCCTCGTAGAAGATAATTCCTTGTAACTGAAGTACAAGTAAGCAAGTTGTTAGGGGTTTCTGTGTCCGGAGGGGAAGAATTTGAGAAGAAAATGTTCCAGGATCTGGAATTGAGATATCCTTTGAACAAAGAAATTTCCAACGGGGATTCTTGAATGATGAAGACCATTAGAATCATTTTTGGTGTGGGGTTCAGGGGGAAGGCTTGCTGGGTTTCAATTGTATTGGGCATTGACAGTGAGTTTTGTGGTTTTGTAATATTGGGTAGAAAAGTTTTGGGTTAGACGGGTTGGTGGTCTCGATTGGTGTGGGTCTTGGGCTTTGAATTTCTGTTGGTGGTATCTTATCACCTTGTTTGTATTTTTCTTCTTTAATTTTAATAATTTTTTTATTTATTATCAAAAAAAGAGATAATTCCTTGTAATTCCTGATTTCGCTAGAGAGTCAACTAGACTATTGGTTGATCTAGGTGTCCACCGATACAAGGTATGCAGGTTGGCAGCCGGACTGTAGCTTCTCTGACTAGTAATCCAAGTGTCAAATGTACCTTTTCCAGTTTCTTTAACCAGTTTATAATTATCTGTACTCACTTTCAACAAGTAGATCTGTATCCAGTTAATAAGACAGGTTTTAAGCCTTGAGTTATTGCCAACCACTCTGCTGTTAAGGATATAGTGTGTGGCATGTTCACTTTTCATGAAGTTTAAGCATGACTCCCTGAGGCTAATGAGATTATGAGCTTCCCAATCATTAATATGGTTGAAGTCTTGGCAACTTATTTCATGACCTATATTCCTGTATCCATGGCCATTGTATGTCAGGATCGAAATTTGGGTCACAGGGGAGGCAGTGTTTGGTTTTGTGTTTAAGAAGGTCTAATAGTTGAATTGGCTTTCATCTTTCACAAAATTCCAATTCTCTTAATTGGACTGAATTTTGGCCAATTTCGCTGATAAGTATGTTTGACCAGGTTGGCAGTTTCATTTTTATTTATCTTTTATATTTTTAACTCAATGACTCACTAGCAATGTTTTAAAGTGCGGAGGCATCACACAAGGTGTTCCACTACCTAGAGGTGTGAGGCGTAGTTCAGAACGTAAGAAGTGTAAGCCTCCTCAAGAGGAGGGGGGTTAGGAGGAAGGAGGAGCAAGGGGAGGAGGAAGAAGAGGAAGGGAGGATCTCATTTTTTTCTTTATTTTTAATAAAAATCTTTTATATTAAGAAGAATAAAGATGCATAGCACTCTAGTTGAAAGGGGGGTCTTGAAACCTTATAACTTTGAGGTTTTCTGTGCATTTTGAGGTTTTGAAACCTTGCAACTTTCAATAAGTATGTAACGTTGTCACAAACCCCATCCAATTCAGTTATTCTTAGCTATGCCAAATGGCTAGTGCAAGTATTTGACAAATGCATCATTCTCTTTACACTAGAAGGAATTGCCAGGTTAAACTAGTTTTAGCCTTCTTTGCACTAATTGCTCCTCTTTCTCATATTATTTTTATTTGCTTAAATGCATGATATTGTCAAATGGCAAGTGCAAGTATTTGACAACTGCTTCCTTCTCTTTACCCTAGAAGAAACTGCCAGGTTAAGCTAGCATTAGCCAACTTTCAATAATTGATCCTTTTTCTCATATTACTTTAACTTGTTTAAATGCATGGTATTGTCAAATGGTGAGGAATATCTGGTTGGTTGCCTCTTTAGTAAGAGATTTCTTATGTAGTCCTTTGATCCATTGACTGGAAGTTAGATTGATAACATATAAAGAACTAAGCTTCAAAATATTATTAATGTGTTATTTCTGTATAAATCATAAAACTCATTGTTTCCTTTTCGTATTTTGGTCCAGACTTCCAAATTTCATCTTCCCATCAATCTTCTGTTCTGTTACAAGACTGCGCCTAATGAGTTGTGCAATTTGGTTTTGCAGGAGTACTTTATGAATCAAGGGCCGCAAGAACATGACTTTCAAGGAATTCATCGCTGCAAGGATACCACTTCAGGGGCACACAATACTTTAATAAATAACATGGAAATGACTAATCAATTGGACTATTATCAGTTTGATTTGCATCAAGATTTTGACCACAATACTTTCATTGGTTTCAATGGTGATGGGGAGTGTGGAGAAGATTCTATGCCCCACTTGTCTAGCTATCTGCCAAATTTTTGCCCTCCACCATCTGCCTTCTTGGGGCCAAAATGTGCACTCTGGGATTGTCCAAGACCTGCTCAAGGATCAGAATGGTGTCGAGATTACTGCAGTAGTTTTCATGCTGCTCTAGCCCTGAATGAAGGTCCACCTGGTATGACTCCTGTGCTTCGTCCTGGGGGAATTGGTCTAAAGGATGGTCCCCTCTTTGCTGCTCTCAGTGCAAAAACACAAGGAAAAGATGTTGGTATTCCAGAATGTGAGGGAGCTGCAACTACTAAGTCACCATGGAATGCTCCTGGTAAACTGTTAATGCATCCTCTGATGAAAAAGAAGAAATTTTTAAAAAGACGATATTGCCTTATCTTAATTGTATTTTTTGGCACATCAAGTTATTTATCATTTTCACAAATCTCTGTTTTGCATTACGGTATTTCTTTGGATAGCATTTTTCCCTTTTCTTTTTCAAATTTTTAGCAACAGAGGTAGGGTAATAAAGAGTTTGTAATTATGATATTTACTAATCAGTAATTTTCTTCTAATGCTGCAGAGCTGTTTGATCTATCTGTTCTTGAGGGTGAAACAATTAGGGAGTGGCTCTTCTTTGACAAGCCTCGAAGAGCATTTGAGAGTGGCAATAGAAAGCAGAGATCATTGCCAGATTACAGTGGACGTGGTTGGCATGAATCAAGGAAACAGGTGATGAAAGAATATGGGGGGCTGAAGAGGTCCTATTACATGGATCCACAACCACTGAACAATTTCGAGTGGCACTTGTACGAATATGAGATCAACAACTGTGATGCATGCGCACTGTATAGGTTGGAACTGAAGCTTGTTGATGGAAAGAAGAGCCCCAAAGGAAAAATAACAAATGATTCACTTGCTGATCTGCAGAAACAGATGGGGAGGCTAACTGCTGAGTTCCCCACGGATAACAAACGCAGTGTTAAAGGCAGGACTAGAGTTAATTCCAGGGATGTTTATTCTACTCCAAACCAGCTTGTTCCTTCAAATGAAAACTTTGGTTATGGAGTAGGCGCGCCATATGGTTACCTTGTTGAGAATTTAAATGAATATTATGGGACGTAGTTGATGAGACTGGGTTTCATGTGGCAGGGTTGTAGTAGCTGATGCATTTTCACTGTTGACAGTGGTGCAGCCGTTGAAGCTTTCCAATATATTATAGGTTTTCAATTTGGCGTCTCAATAACATCAAGCCAACCCCGTTTTTTGTCACATGGGGTTTGTGTAGTTCAGTGTCATCTGCACAATTAGTGTCCTGTATGCTGGAGCATTCTCTGATTAAAAAGAGATTGTTAAACATAGATGAAATTGGCTGTATTTACTTGTTGCAGTTCCTTTAACCGTGTTGGACAAATGGGAATGCTAATTACGAATAGGTTCACCAGAATTGTATAGGGCAAAGGTGAAAAAATATATGTCTCTTCCCTTGGAACTATTTAATACTTTTTATGTCCATTATTTAGTTCAAGGTTCTGCTTTTGAGGAGGTTTTAGCAGGAACATTTTATGTTCCCGGTTACAAGTTTCTCTTCAATTCACAACTTATTGGACCTACCAGTAAATGTATGAAAATTTCGTTTTGTTGTCTCAGAATGATCTATTTGCTTGTTTGAATTTAATATGTTATATTTCTATTTTCTTTTTAATACGGGAAGATGCTGCAAAAACTATTCAATTCTTATTGCATAGATCTGAAAGCCATTAGTAGAGTTTCTCTTGCTGTTGAAATTACGTATACTGCAGGAATCAATAAAGGGCTTGGATTCTTTAAAACTATTCAATTCTCTGACCATGATACAGCATTTATTGGAGCACGGGCATCCAGTTGGGGTCCACTAGTATTAACACAATGGTGGTGTTTTAGTCGTAGGGTGCATTTGTAAATTGTAAGATATAGATGAAAACACGACGGTATCTCCTGCAAGCACGAGCATACAGTTGCACATTGTCAACATCTTCCTGTGAATTGTATGTACGGGAGATATTTGGATGCCGTGAGAAGTCTATGATTGTAGATTGATGAGACTCAAATTTGTTTATAAACTTCGATATTACCCTAAAAATTGTCATAATTATGAACCAACAGCTTGGTTTTCGGAGAATCAATTTCGGGAAGGCTGTGCCAAAGGCGTAGAAGCATTGAATTGGAGTAGTTAATACTTGGTAGCACAATGTGATCCAATTTAACTACTAAGATTATTAGATTAAACAACCGTAATTACATCAAAAAATAATTCTATTGCTAAAGCAAATTAAAAAGTACAAAAGTAAAACATCGAAATCGAATACTAGTGTTGTAACTTCGAACTGAAGATTCGTCATTTTATTGCACATTTCTTGTGGCAATACGGGCCATAAATGAACGAGGCAACCTTGTCAAACTCAATTAAATCGGGAGAAAGCTTAAGATCGTCTACCCATGATCAAAACACAAAAGAGGTGCATGGTATTGGTAATATGATTGACGGTCAGCACCAGCAGACAGCGGCGCAGTTAACATCACAAGGAGCCTTTGTGTTGTGTCCTTGTGTGTTTATAAATTATAACCAATCAGTTAACTGTGTTAACTAAGGTCTAGCTACAGTAGCTAGGCCATCCAAAAATTACCCTGGGCAGCCACAAGCAATCCACAGGCCCTCGTGTCCTTGTATGATTTGATGATCATGACCAGCCAAAATTTTCTCCTAAAAGTAATTCGTCTGCTAGCCCGGTCCGATGCTCCAATGATCCAATCAAGATGTTAATTAGATGACATTCAAATACCATTAAATTGGCAAAAGAACTAACCAAGAATGGAACTGCCACCCCTTAACTCTTAATATTTACTTTGTTGCAGTACTTGCAATACTTGTAATATGTAGAGAGCTTTTCCAACTATGTTTCCTCCATTTGGACAGGCAACTTATAAAATATGCAACCTTACATAATTCTATACATTAGAGTATATACTTCTACCACCCACTTCAAACTAATAACCATAGCTGATATATATATATATATATATATATAGATGTATGCCCTATCCATATATCAGGATTACAACACTTCAGAATCAAGGATCAGCCTCCCTAGTCAGGCGTGCAAAATACTTCAAACCATTTCTTAGCCTTTTCCTTCAACAAGTAAAACCAGAATATTCAACACATAGCCAGTCTCCTAAGCAGCATCATCGTCTAGGTTGTTGACCTTCTCACACTCGTCAATCCATTCACTATATCTGCAATCACAATTCTCCATCAAAGTTTGTATAAAATAAACAGGATCAGAAATTATAAAAAGAAATATAATTAAAATGTGACTTACATGTCTATGGGCTCAGATAGAGCTGCAAACATGAAATTAGAGATATCAGCTCAACGTAGTTCACAGAATTAAAAAAATAGAGATGTTGACAAAAAAATGCTCTATAATATAAGCAGATACTATATCCATCCAATAGGCACGGTAGCCCAGTCAAAATCCAGCCTATGACAATGCCCGATCATCTGAAAAAACAGGCTGCAGAGTACTGCTAAGGCACTAGTACAGAACAAAAGCAATATGTACTCCTATTCGTCATATCAGTCTGATCAATTGAATAATGTGTTTCAACCATAGAAGTGGATGCATATAATTTCATTTCAATTTCGGGGGGGGAGTCCTTTGCCTTGATGCATGAAGAAATATGACATAGATATTCATCTTGAATATGTTCTGCTTTGCATGCTTATAATAAGAAAATTCTAAATTGCAAATGATTTCCTGCTGAAAACCATACCAGTGATGGTTGTGCTAAAGGTCTCTTGGCAAATTCTGCATGTGGCCTCACCAATCAAATTCTTCATATCACTGAAATTAGACACTTGTGTTTCAGTCAAACAAAACCACATCTCAAGTTCAATAAATGCTCTTAATAAGAATGCATGATAAGTCAATAAACAACCCAACTGAACAAAACTAAGTTTAAAATATGCATTACAGAAACATATAACAGAAGACTGAAAAGGAAAACATAGAATCAGTTTGGTCTATTGTCCAGTTGTCCCTTGTATTCCACTCACCATACCAATGCATTGATAAGAGTGGTGAATAGTCCACCTTGCAGATCAACCATTTACCTAATTATGTGTGCATAACACTCATTGAAAGGACATATAGAATCAAATACAACTTACATGCGGCACTCAACACTGCTCCCGTGGTTGCAGAAAGGACAGCTGAAGACAGTATCCAACTTGTCCATACGCTTCTTGGGAGGTGGCTTTGCCCTTGACTTCCTTTTCCCCATAATCTCAAGTCTGTTCCTTCAGTATGCTGGCTCAACTGATAAGTACAAGTAATAAAGTACATGCATATGAGAATCAAGGGAACATGCAACATATTAATGAATAACTTATATATTTCAATTTCACAAGTAATCACATCATTTTTCATACAAAATCAATGAATAAAAAAGAATTTCATACAGTCATACTAGATCAATTCTTGATAACAGGCATAAATTATATAAATATACCAAACTGAGAAATTCATAAAGGTAGTGAAAGTTAACTCCTCAAGCATAAGCTTTCCATTCTAAACTCTTCGCAAGAGCACAATGACATTCCAGATTGAAAACAATGTACAAGCTTCTGACATTCCATGCAGGGGATCCACCTACAATCTAACTTTACAAAGACAACCATATTGGCATGATACACTCAAACCCACTTTAATTAGGAACAAACATGACCGGTTGACACTTCAAGTTATGAAGTTAATTACATCCCTTGAGGAATGATTCTAATAAAGCAGAAACTTTTCAAGTAAAGATTGTCCAATTCTAAAAAATAGTTCCTCACTATTACCAGCTCATCATAATCCTAAAAAGATAAAGAATTTGAGATAAAATAAAATAACAAACTAATCAGAACCCACAGTGAAGTCTACCAGGAAATACGAAAGATTTGCATAGATTTTGTTGAATATTTTATATTGGATTATTCTTTTGCATAGATTTTGTTGCATACTTGCATGTTTTATATTGGATTGTTCTTTATATTACAACCATCAGACAAATAAACCCCTACAACAACATGCCTCCTAACTCATTTTGCATAAATCAGTGGAATAAATGTAATAAACATGGCCAAAATCAATGGAAAAGGTTGACAGTTTCTTTTTCCAAAAAAACGAAGCATCTTTCTTCTGGGGGAAAAAGAGCCGTTCATGCAACATAGAGACATATATATGATAAGAAAGACAGGGAATGAATATGAATCTACGCCTAAATTACAAATTCAGAATTTAGAAGATAAACTCTAAATGGTACCTTCGAACGAAATTTAAAAGCAGTAACCAGATCTGAAACTTCACAAAATCAAACAAAATAACTTCTACCCAAGTATCCTTAGCCAATTACCGCCCTCTTTGATCTCCAAAGAAAATTCAAAACAAACTTTGCTCCTGGAAATTCAATTCAATACGCTAAAACAATTAAGAAAAAATGTTTAAATACGTTTTGATACAGTTTCACGTTAAGGGAACAATAAAATCACAAAACCAAACTCTAATAAACTAAAAATCCAACATCAAACCCATGCGAGTGGTGTTTATCTTGGAGTAAATGCTGAAAGAAAGAGAAGATCAAAACTTAAAAACGAAAACCAAAAGCGAACTAATTTCTTACTGAAGGCCTTTCCTTCAATCTAATAATTGAAACTTCAAATTAAAACCCCATCATCACAGCCACCAAAATTGTGTTTACCTCTCAACACAAAACTTCTAGGAAAAATACATCAAACCCTAAAGATGGCAATAAACAAACCAACTTTTTGCCGCTCGAAGAACAGAAACCCTGGGTCAGAAACACCGTACCTAACAACCTAAAAGAAACATGACATTCAAGACATTCATTGAGTAACAGAAGATCGCCTAAATCGATGGAAAGAAGAGATAATAGATCCCTTTCAGCAATCAATTATTAATAGAACAAAACCATTAGAAAAACAAAGAAATCAAACAAGAACACAATAAATCCAAGAAACATTAGTGATGGACTGATGGAACTAAGAAAAATCGAAAAATTCAACCAGATGAAACCTGTTAAGAGAGTTTTGCAGGCCGAAGAGAAAACCTAGCTTCATCAAGCACGGGGCGGGAGCCGGGAAGGATTTTATACTTCTTAGAAATACGTTTTTTTATTTTTCTTAATTTTTATTAATTCTATTCTATATTTCTATTACTCGCCGAATCGAGATTTGATACTCACACCGACCTCACAGGTAAAAAGGTGTAATTGTGGGCCGCCCGCGCCTAGTAAACGGTATTCGAAAATCCGAATTCGAATCCGAGATTCGGCACAATCCAATCGAATTCGGATATGTATTGATCCGATCTGATAAATATCCAATCGACCTCTATCTGTGAGGTCGGTGTGAGTAGCAAATCTTGATTCGGCGAGTAATAGAAATATAGAATAGAATTAATAAAAATTCGAATATATATATATATAATATTTTTGTACATTAATGTAATAAATAAAATCTCTTAGGGGTAAATGAGGAAATTTGTTCCTCAAACGCCAGTCCTAAACCCTAAATCACTCAACATTTTCTGCTCAGCCTAGGTTTTCTTCTCTCTCGCCACCACTTTGCCATCTCTCCTCTCTCAACTCTCACTCTTGCAAACCCTAACCCTAATCCTCCCTTTGCTAGCGTTGTTGCCACCGCCATCGCCCGAGCAACCACACCAGCGATTCGACGATCGAGTACCAGTCCTCTTCTCTTTCAAATCTCGATTCATTATCGCGGCCGCTCGAGCAACCACCATCACCAACAGCAACATCAGTGATAGTGGTCAAGTGACAATAGTCTTGACGGCAACCACCATCACCGATGACAACCATCATCTTCTCCTCTATCTCTCCTTCGTCGCAATGCCATCACCAATGACAGTAGTCTCAACGGCAACCACCATCATCGACAACAACCATCATCTTCTCTATCTCTCCTTCATCGTCGCCGCACTACCATCACCGCTCATCAATCACCACTACCATCGGTAGAATTCGAATCGAATCGAATATTTTATTTGATAATTGAAATCGAATTCAAACTCAAATATTTGATATCCGTCAGATATCAAATCGAATTCGAATATTAGTGTTCATAATTGGTTTCGAATTTGAATCTAGCCTGATTCGGTTCGAATTCGATCCATTTACAAGCCTACACGCGCCTGCCTGCCCGAGATCACATCTTCGCCCCACAGCACATCCCTGTCGTGTATTGGGAACATCTCCCGATGATGACATCATCGGGATTGGTACCATCATCGGTAAATGTTCCCAATACAAGGTAGGGATGTGTTGTGGGGCGATGTGGGGCAACTCCTTGTGGGGCAGAGATGTGAACTCTGCCTACTTGGAACCTCAAAGGTCGGCATGGGCCCACCTGGGCTGGACCACGGATCACACCGTGGGCCTAGACCGAGCTAGGCCAGACCTTTTTGTGTTTATTTTGTCAATTTTTGTTCATTTTTTTCTAAGTAAAGATGGCAAAATTTTTGAGAAAAATAAAACTTTAGGCTCCATTTGGGAATGATGCAAATGGAGAGTAAATCTCGGTTCAGGGTAAATATGTACTCTCGTTCAATTTTGTCAGTGTTTGGCAAGAGTGCAATTATGCATTGACATATGACAAAAAATACATTTTCCAATACATATTTACATCCAAAATGAGATGTAAGCTCCCAAACAGAGCATTAATAAATATAAGGGTAATTTTTTTAAACTGCCCTTATGGTTTAGCTAATTAACTAAGTGTACCCTTATTGTTTAAAAATTGATTAACACTATCCCTACTGTTTTTGACAATTGACTAATACTTCCCTTACCGCTAGTGTCCATTAACAAAAAACAAAAAAAGACTATTTTGCCTTTTATGATTCTTTAAATTTTCAAACTAAGATAGGGAAAAAAGGGAAAAAAAAAACATTCGTACATCAAACCCTGTTAGAGCCTAGAGCATTGAAAGTTGAACCTACTAGAGCCTAGATTGGAGTGGTGGAGGTCATGCACTCTGGCACGCAACATCCAACGCCATCACCCCTTCAATTTCAACCCGACCAGAGACAGAGAGTAGTGTTGCTCTCACTCTTGCACGCAACATCGGATGGCTTTGGTCAATAAGGTGGATGAACTAGAGATAACTTGCATTAAAATAGGTAGTGATGTGGGGTGACCCAAACTAGCCCATTTGAGGCTAGGAGGCCCAGCCCATGAATGCTAGATCCAAGAATGAGATCCGCTATAGCAGGGGTTACCCTGCTCCCCTCATACGGAGCCAATTGCGAAGCATTAACATGATCCTTCCAAGCTTGTTGTACACTTCTGTACGGCTCCCATCTTAAGCGTTCATCTCCACCTACCTCCAGGTAGCTCAAGTATAAATAGGGGTGCCCCCCTCCAGGTAAGGGGATGGAATCGGAGCTAATTTGATACAATCTGCATCTAGATCTGGAACTTATCTCAAAAACTATATTATGGTTCCCTCCTTTGTACCTCGTACTAACTTGACCATCGGAGGCTCTGCCTTAGGTTCTCACCCGGGGCCTCTAACACATTCTGTCTTGCAGTACCTCAGCCATCTACCTTTGGCTTCTACAGTACTCAGAGCCCATTCTACGTCGGCCTCAGCACAAGTTCTCTAAACCCTCAAAGCCTCCGGCCAACCTTCGGAGTCTAGGGGTGAAGTTACTTTGTTGTCCTCGGCCAATCCGAGTACCAACAATTGGCGTTGTCTGTGGGAAGTGTTGCTAAGATGTTCCCTAAAAAGAACTTTAACAAGCTATCAAGTCCCTAAGATCCAACCAACCAACATGGTACGAAGAACAAGAAATACACAGAACCTTGTCACCAATGAACAGTTCTAGGTCGTGCTCAACTGCTTGGAATACTTGACACAGCGAGTCGAGCAGAACTACCCCCAAGCAGGAGGTCGCCCACAGGGTGACCGCCCCGCCGGGGAGTCAACACAGTCGTGCCGGCATGGGTCCACCAGCCAACCGGTTCTCAGCCTTGGCCACGCGTAGTGGACCAAGCCCTCAGAGTCTAGTAGTAGTCGTCCAGCCGACCCGCTCTACAGGACCTCCAAACCTCCCAGCCGAAGGGAGGAAGAACCGAAACAATCAGAGGATAGCCATCAGCCCTCCGAGCAGCATCACCAACACCGAAGGGCCAAGTCGAAGGATGAAGGCAGATGTCATGATCGCCCCAACACTCACTCCAAGGCCGAGGGCCGGCGTCGAGCCTCTTCCCCTCATGTCTCAGACCACCGAGACGTTTTGAACGACCACCACGCTAGGTGCGAAGTACGCGGTCTAGCCTCCGAGAAATCCGGAGTCCGCACCAATCACCATCATGCCCATGAAGGCCGGGATGGTGCATAGGCCATGCCTGACCCCATGTTCGTCGAACTCTGGGCCGAGCTTGGTGCTATCAAAGCCGAGCTCCGATAGATTAAGGAGGGTTGAACCGACACCTCGTCTAGACAAAGCAATTCCCTAGGGAGAATGGATGCCTTCTCCCCTGATATCGTTGCCAAGCCTCTACCCCCAAACTTCAAGGCTCCCACCTTGGAGATGTACGATGGGAACACAGACCCAGACAACCACCTGGAAAGCTTCAGGGCACTCATGATCCTATACGGGTACTCCGACACCTTGACGTGTCGGACTTTCCAAGCAACCTTCAAGGGAGCCACTCAGCGGTGGTTCTCCAGCCTCCCACCTCGATCCATCACCTCATGGGAGCAATTTTCCAGCATGTTCCTCACCCGCTTCATCAACACCCGACGCCCCTAGAAAAGCGTTGTCTTGCTGATGACTGTTAAATAGAAACGAGGAGAGAGTTTGCAGTCATACATCGACCACTTAAAAAAAAAAAGAACTCGAGGTCCATGACCTCGACCCCCTGGTCTCCATGCATACCACCATCAGCGGGCTCCTCCCTGACTCGGCTCACAAATGCTCCATTGCCAAAAGCCAGCCGAAGACGAAGCTGAAGTTCCTAGAAAGGGCCTAGAAATACATTGTCGTCGAAGAGGCTTCGGCTACGAACGCACATGAGAGAGTCACAAAACACCGGAACGGAGCCCTTGAGAAGAAGAGGAAGAATGGAGACCAGGGCCACAGCAACAACAACAACAGGAAGCCACCGGCCTCGGCCATGGCTTACAATTAGTACACGCCACTCAACTCCACTCGTACATAGATTTTGATGCAGATCGGGTAGGAGAAATTTATGAAGTGGCCTGAAAAGTCGAAGAAGAATCCCCGCCGGGGTAATCCCAAGAAGTACTGCAAGTTCCATCGAGGTACCAACCACAACACTGAGGACTGTTATGATTTCAAAAGTGAGATAGAGTCCCTCATTCGTCGAGGCCACCTCAAGCAGTACGTCAAAGGCGAGGCTGGCGCCTCATCCTCTCAGCAGCCAGCGTCATTGACGTCATAGTGGGAGGCACAACCTCAGGTGGAGCCTCGGCCTCGGCCCGGAAGGCTTATGCCAGGCAGTTGAACATCCATGGGCCAGCCCCCAAGAAGCAGAAGCAAGAGTCCCTCTCCTTCATGAATGAGGACCTGAAGGGGGTAGTAGTCCCCCATGACGACACATTGGTGGTTTTGGCCGTCATTGCAAACTTCGCAGTCAAGAGAATCCATGTTGACAGTGGCTCCTCAACCGACATCCTTTTCTACGAAGCTTTTGAAAAGATGAAGATAGCTCCAAAGCGCCTCCAACCAGTAGAGGCCCTGCTAGTCGGCTTCTCCGGCAACATCGTTAAACCAGAGGACAAGATCTCCCTACCAATCACAGTGGGGATGGAGCCTCAGCAGGTGACGAGGATGACAGAGTTCCTAGTCAGGAAGATCGGTTCACCCTACAACGCCATTATGGGGAGACCAACTCTTCACGCACTCCGGGCAGCCATCTCCTCCTACCACCTTGCCTTGGAGTTCCCCACCGAGCACGGCATTGGAGTTGTTCATGGGAACCAACATGCCAACCGCCAGTGCTATGTGGTAGCACTGAAGGGCAAGAATAAAGAAGCTCTACCACTAGAGGGTCTCAACCTCAGGGAGGAGCCAGCGAGCCGAGGCCAGCCTGCCGAGGACCTCGTCTCGGTCCCCCTAGACGAGAACGAGCCCGA